CTATTTAATCTTCTAAACCTATAATAATCAATTAACAATGCGCCGCCCTCCAGCTTGTTCTTCTGGAGTTCTATTACTGCAAACATACTGTAATCAAGTTAGTTGTATTATATTTTGAATTTGCTGATAGTGATATTAAAATTAACAGAATTTAAATTTAGTAATTTTTTGACCAGGTATATATATAAAATGTATTAAATATTAATGTATATGGGTTAAAATATATGGGTTTAATGCATACAAAGTTAAGTAAAAGTAACAAAGTAAAAGGCCTAGGCCACGCCCTCACTAAAGTTTTATGGATTCTTTATATTTGCATTGCTGATTGCAAATAAGTTTGGCTTTAGACAGATTTCCTGCTATACTAAACACATTTTCTTCTTTCTTTCCATGTGGCACTACACAGCTTAGCATTACTTTCTCCCTGATGGCCATGTAGGTACATGTATTTAGAACTTTTAGCCCCATATTCATCAACCGACTCCTATAGTGGATTTGATATCCATTGAGCTATTAGTTCTTTGGTAGTTAACTTTGATAATATTTTGGGCGGCTTTGTAGCACAGTTTGAGTTTCGTCTGTTTTTTACTGCGAAATAGACTAAAACATGACGCCACGTTTTTTGAGGTTGCTCAAGAACCATTTGAGCCACAGAGTTCTTTTTTATATCATTGAATAGAGAATTAATAATTCGATTCCGTTATAACGGGTAACCAATAAAGTGGGTTTGAATGAATTCATTTTGAAGGTTTGAAGACATTTTGACGACATTTAGAGCGCACTCTTCTGTACTGAACGCACAACTCTGAACTTAAGAATTAACTGAACTTAATCTTAGAAGAATATTTTTCGTTTCTGAGTAATTTGTTTTTGAAAAACTCAATTGAAAATGTGTTCCGCAATAGTTCTGTGATGTCCTGCGCAAAATTTCTTTACGAGTAAAATTCGAAATTTTGACGTTTGGAGCGCACTTTTCTTACTCTCTCTTTACTGTGCCGATGCGTTGCTTTGGCTCACCAATCCATTGCGGCGTCGCTGCGCCAACTCCGAAAAATTCACGGCATTATCCATGCCTAGTCTGCAGTCAATCTCAGTCAGCCTAAAAACGGTTTTAAGATATCTTCTTAGATCTTAGATAAGTCTAAGACCCGGTTCCACCATCTCCGATTAAAATGTTAATCACTGATTACAACTATTTAATCAACACTTTGCGTTTCACCATAATTTTAACCACGATTATGGACACTTAATCAGTGGTTAACTTAACCGCCTAAAATGTCCGGTTATTGACGATAATCACGATTAGAGTGGTATTATAACCTCAAACATTTTTTAAAGTAAACACATGTTGGATTTGTTTTATGACGATGTTTTATCATCGTCTGATGAGCAGAATTGCATTCAGGTTGTTAGAAGACCCCGAATATTTAATCAGCGAGTCTATTCGCTTATCGGAAAACACTGTCCAAACAGTACTGCTGGAAATAGAAATAGACCTGGAACAAACATACTACAGAAAGTTATGATAAAAGAATAATAGTAATAGTTCCACCTGTTAATTAAATGGATTTTTTTAGAAACAATGCTATTCAACTCATGGCACATCTTTTACTTGCGTTGAGGTATTATGCATCTGGATCGCATCTTATTGCTGCTGGATACTTTTTTGGAGTAAGCAAAACTAGTCCACATCGAATTGTACATCAACAATATATTACAATGTTACATCGAGTAACTGCTTTAATAGCCACATTAGCTCGAAATGACATTAAACTCCTATCTACAAAAAGGAAAGTAACTGCAGCACAAGTAAATTGTTATGCAATAGCTCGTTTTTCCAAACTTATTTCAGTTTGGGGGAGGCAACGCAGAAGTATTTCGTAATAGAATATATTTTTATATATTTTTTTACGTATTTCTCTATCAATGTTCAAGCGACATGATACGTGATCACTGCATATTGTGAGGGAAAATGATTTCAGTTTATCTGTCAATTGTTTGAACCAATCAGAACCGTTGGTTCAAAGGAAATACGATCTTACCTGATGAGACTGATGATTATCTAACCGGAGTTAAAATGTTTGTTGTGGAACGCATGACAATTTAATAATGATTACAGTGGTGATTAAAAAATGGTTGTAATTAGTTAACCAAGAATTCAATCACTCTTGGTCAAACCAAGCCTGAGTCATAAGTCATAGTTAAGGTTCGGTCACAAATAAAATCCGTATTGTTTATATTAATTTGAAAATAAACTGTTTTTAAAAACAAAACCTTCAAATTAATCAATACAATTTTGTTGGCAGTATTGACATTTCGAAGAAGTGAATTGCTGCATTTAATAAATCTTATTGAATTTATCGTTTGCACCTTAACCTATTTTATTGCCACTTTTCGTGTTTTTATGTGATTACTTGAGCTTTTGATATTTAAAAATCAACGGGTATTACCTTAAAAAACGTTTTGGCCGACCTTCTAGTATTGTTGAAAATATCTCAGTTTTAATTAAGAATCATTTTTTAAATTATTTTTCCTGTACTCCCTAAACACCCCCCCAGACAACAACCTCCGACGAATGACCAGTGTTGAAGCACCCTGCATACACACGTTATTACAAAAGCGTGTTTTATTCAAAAAAAGAAGACCCTAACATGCTAAACTAGAAGTGGAAGCAGAATTGCGCTGCGCATCGGTAACGCATCGGTAATGTCGTTTTTGACCTTTATTTATTAACAAATTGAACTTTAAAGCAAATTCTCGAACGGAATAAATAATGATATCGTGTTAAGTCAAATTTTTTTAATTTTTGATGTATATTGTTTGGCTTTTCGCTTCAAGTGTATAGAGATTTAGCGACCTGACTGAACAGGGCCCTGCTTTTCATTATTCACCTTTAATTTTTGCAGTCATCATATGTATTTGATGGTCACTATAACCAATAAAATGCCGATAAAAATACACAATTTTAATGAATTAAGTCTAATATAACAATGTTCACAAAGTACATTTTTGAACGAGCTTAAACAACACTGACAACATATTCTTACAAAATACTACACAACACATTTAGGTACATATTTCTGGTTTTTAAACAAACAACAGTGATAAGCTCTGTTTTACTAAAACTGAATTGAAGAAATTGTATTTATAAATGTTAGACTGAATGCGTATTTTCCATCATTAAAAATGGGCCGATAAAATACACCCTTAATAAAAAATTTAAATTAAAGATTTTAGTTTTACGTAGTAATTTACATAGCGATGAAAGTAATTGAATTTTGGAAGCAATAGAAAAGTTATGAATCTGCTTCCGAAAATTGGAAATAAAAGGTATTTATTCAAGGCTCTTTATTAATGATTTTTCAAAATGGAAGTGATAGAACGATCAGGAAGTGACTATTAAACGTTTACTACTTGTCTACTCGAAGGAATGTATAACATTTTAAAATACCGCTCACTCATCCAACAAACTACAATTTCCAAAAAATGGAAGTATAAATTTGTCAAAAAATAAGTATATACACTAGTGCAACAACAATTTTGCAAATAATTAATTTCCATAGAAATATTTGTAATGCTACACCACTTTAAGTCAAGCCTCGAAATAATTCGTAGTTAAAGTCAAAGTTGTCAATGAATTTAAATGGTTTTGGGGTAAATAAGGCCTTTCATCATATCGAAAGAGTTGCCATCAGGCTGCACTGATTCTCGCAAACCGGCTGACGTTTCCACTTTGAGAAAACCATAATCATCTATTCCAACCACTTTTCCTTGGTGGCATTTTCCGTCTTTCGATGTCAACGTAACTGGAGCATCCCTACAAAGAAAGAAACAGTATAAAAGCAGTTTCAAATCAAATTGACACTATTGATAACTTGGTTAATGCTGAAAAAGGCCATGGGTTGAAATGCGAAATATTTGGTTTTTTTGTTGCTTGTGATGAGGAAAACAGAAAAACAATCAACATTCAGATTTTCGAAGGTTTTTTCATCGTTTACATTTTTTGTAATGATCACTCGGCATATTATCTGACACGTGCTGTATAGCTGAATTAGACACAAAAAACGTTAATGCCATTTACACGTAAAATAAAAACCAAGTAAATACAGGGTGATTCAAAATTGACGTCATTGCTTTTAAGGGGTGATAGAGGCTCACTTGGGGAGTACGAAAAAAATATAAAAAAATTTTTTTTCGAAAATTTCTAGAAGATATTAACAGTTGAAGATCAAATTTCAACTTTG